TATAAAAGTGACTGCTGCAGTGTAATTGCTTGTGGTAAATTACACCTTTTGCCTTCTGCTTCGGTTTTTATTAATGAGGTCCATTTTCTTTACTAAAGATATATGTTATATTTATCTTGTCTTTATTATTTATTTGGAAAGAGTATTTTTCTGGAATTGTAATCAGTGGTCTCGTTTGAGCCACTCTTGGTTTGGTCGGTTGGCGATATTTAAAATGGACATTTTGCCTAGACTCCTTTATATGTTTCAAACGGTCCCAATTGCAGTACCGAGCACTTTTTTTCGTATATTGCGTTCCTCACTACTACGTTTTATATGGTCCAATTCAGCAGCTCGTCTCAGATACGTGGTACTGGTGCGACGGAAACAGCATGGGGGAGTGGGCTTGCCCCACATTGAATTGTATTATAAGGCTGCCCTGCTCACTAGGCTAATTGATTCGATATCCCATTCGCAAAACAAACTATGGGTACAACTAGAGGCGCTGATATCGCCTCTCTCCCCCTCATCTCTGCCGTGGATTGATCCGACATTCCGGCCGACATTGGGATCTCTCCCCTGTTGTCTGCCCCCACTACTTAGAGTCTGGGATTCGCTGCTTAAACAGGACTCCTTCTCCTCGCGCCCAGGACCTCTGACGCTTATCATGGGGAACCCAGAGTTCCCCCCAGCTCAACATAGGGAACAGTTTCTGGGATGGCGGGGTACAGACTTCACCCCCCTCTCTTTGGCTCTCAAGGAAGGGGGCTTGCGCACTCTTTCTGCATTGCTAGAGGAGTCTGCTCCGTTCCCCGGACACTGGTTGGAATATTTTCAGCTTAGAGACTTCTATGCCGACATGTCTAGACGTGCTGACATACACAGGGAACTGTACCCCATCGAGCGGATAAAAAAAAATGGGAAAAAAAAATAAGCTAGACTGAAGGAATAAAATGAGCAGGCTTAGTTGAGTATATAAAGTGCTGGGGCCCAACTTGTGGAATTCTGTTAGTTACTGTGCAGGCCTTTGGCCACAGCAGCCAGTACTGAAAGGAACTGTTTATTTGTAATAAAGCTGTAATACCAGGGAGCTCTTGCTGGTGTCTTCTGCAGCATGCCCCCAGCATCCAACCACACCTGTATTATGTCTGCAGTGTTAAACAGTCTTCTGTAGCATTATGTGTACTGAGTTTTATGTGTGGCCCCCTGGGGATGTCCATAGCTGCAGTTGAGGAACCTGTATTGCTAGTACGTTTACTGTCATTGAAGCAAAGACTTTGTCAAATTGCAGAAGTTTTCCAGAGTTGCAACAAGTAATACTGGGTGGTGGCTTTCAAGTCTAATAGTTCAAACAATTTTAGGAAATGTGATCACTTCCTTTCTATGAAGTAAGCTACAGTTTATTTTGATTCAACACTTGATTGAGGACTGATTTGAGAAGGATACTTTAAATTGTCGAAAAACATATTTCCCACACTTAGTGTTCTTTCTTCATGGGGAATAGATCAGGATAGACATATGGAAGCTACTACTACTGGCTTATTTTTGAAGGTGCATGTTCCCAGATCATCGTTCTTCTCTTAATACTTTAGTCCTTGACCTGACACAATCCTGTGCATTTTAGGTTTTTAGCATACCTCACTATGCAGAAAAGGAGAGAGAAGAATAACAGTCCTGGAGGCTGCACCTTCAAAAACAAATGAGTAATGGCAGCTCCATTATTAATATCCTGACAGGCTCCTTTTAAATGTAATATATTTGCTATATATGTTTTAATAGCTTTCATGGTGTGTTTCTTGGAAAAACTCTAAAATTCAGGCAAGGGAAAAGCCATACCACCCTTCCTGGAATTTTGTGCCATCCTCTTAGCTGCAGTATAAAAGTGACTGCTGCAGTGTAATTGCTTGTGGTAAATTACACCTTTTGCCTTCTGCTTCGGTTTTTATTAATGAGGTCCATTTTCTTTACTAAAGATATATGTTATATTTATCTTGTCTTTATTATTTATTTGGAAAGAGTATTTTTCTGGAATTGTAATCAAGTGTCCTTTTTGCAATTATGTGGACTTTGTGAGCTGACTCCTTGAATAAACCATTTACAATGCACAATCTTGTAGCTTTTCTTTATTTCAAGCTTGCATGCTATCATGCAAATATGTTGTAGTAGTTTACTCCCTCTAAATGTATTTTTCTGTGTTGAAATATATCAGCCTTTATTATGTGTCATTATACATTACCTACACCTATAATCTGAAGGAAAGTACATTTTTGCCCATATTACTATGCACAGAGCAAAGGCTCACTATGCCAAAAAAGTGTATTTTCCAAAGCAAAAACCTGCACACATAAATGTCAAAACTAGGTTCAGAAATATCAGAAGGGTGGTGAATTTGTTCATAAATGATCTTTGCATAAAAGACAAAAAAACTTTATACCAATCTAAAAAGGTTTACAACTCCCAATATAAACCTTCAATGGGACCCTGCTTTTTCCAACTGCCTGTCAAACAAACATCAAAATGCATCAATTATTATGTTGCAATATTGCTATATAGTATAAGACCAATATTGGTCAGATACATTCAAGATTTTAATATATCCACTGTCTTTAATTAAGTCACTTAACTGTCTAACCTATATTGTAAGTATCTCCGTGATTAAGCAATTATGTATAAATCCAGTTAGCCTTTTAACAGTTCTCCTGAAAAAGGATCTGTTAAATAGTCTGCATGTATATAGAAAAGTTCAGACACTAGAGGTAGTGTGTGTGTATGTATGTGCGTGTCAGATCGTGTCCTGCAAGCAGAGATTGCTACTCATCATTTCTATAAATGGATAAATCACTAGATATGCAATATAACAAAGTGTCATGGAGTCACACATGTGGTTGCCAGTGATTAAACTAGGTGAGAGCATATAGCAGGTACAGGAAGAGGTGGCTCCCAGAGTACCGCTTGTCTTTATACATCCCCGATATCAGATGGAGCAACTTCCATCATTTGATGTAAGGTCATAGCAATGGAACATTAGTTCTTGATGGTTGTTACTAGCTTATGGTTATATTGGACAGTCATATTCACTACAAGGCTGTATCAAACACAGTCTTGCCATCAATATGATTGAGGAGCACTCTTGACTCCATGACATCTGTGTGGGACTTTGATATATTCCTTATCCATTGAATTATCCATTTATAGAAATGGTGATGTGTCTGACGGGCAGCAATCCCTTCTAGCTGGGCAGGGTCCAGTAAACACACTACCTCTAGTGCGTGTGAACTTTTATATACGTATACACACTATCTGTTTGATGGATCCTTTTGTCTGGAGATCTCTTGAGATGCCAAGCTGGATTTAGTTTTTTTTATATGTTTCCTGAGATTCTTACCATATAGGATGGACAGTCCAGTGAATTATTGAATGCTATACTAAAACCTTGGCAGTAAATGACCAGTAATGGTCTTTATACTGCCGTGTTTCCCCAAAAATAAGACACTCTTATATTTTTTTTGGCTCAAAAAAACACACTGGGTCTTATTTTCGGGGTAGGTGTTATTTTTTTATGTACAACAATCCACACTTATTCATGTAGAAAAGTCTAAATGTATTCATGTACAAAAATATAGTGATCAGGGGTGCTGTACCTTTTCCATGAGCAATTTGCTAACCAATCGCTGGCCAGAATGAGCGAAGCGCACTTTCACTATCGATTCCTCACAGGCAGAGTGCATTTGGTATGACTCCACCTGTGACAGGAGCCGGCGCTATAGAGGAGGCATCGACTTATGCGGCTTTGCTCCCTCCGGTGCTGCCTCACTTCCTCTAGCGCTGGCTTAGTTGGCGCCGCTGATTCTCTCCTGCCTCTCCCACGGCTCTTCAAGTTCCCCCTTATGCCTCCACCGGCCCTGGGAATGGTCACAACTAGGTCTTATTTTCAGGGTAGGTCTTATATTTTAGCAATTCCCAAAAATAGTACTAGGTCTTATTTTCGGGGTAGGTCTTATTTTCAGGGAAACAGGGTATATATTAATATACACTGAGTGGCCAGATTATTATGATCACCCCATCAGTACTTTTTTGGGCCACGAGATAACTTCGTTGGCCCGCCTCATGACTCCATGAGATGTTGAAAGGTGATGCGAGGAATCTGACACTGCACTGTTGCCCTTCTGTTGTCTTGTACCAGTCTTGCCACTCTCCGTTCTGCTCTAACATTGACTAGTCGCTGACGGCCACAATTCGCACGTTCAGACCCAGATTTTCGGCTGACAGTCCAGTCTTTACACACTTTAACAACAGCTGCTCTTGAACATTTAATGAATTCTGCTGTTTTGCTTATACTCGCTCCATGGCTCCGAGCGCCAACAATCATCCCACGTTCAAAGGCTGTTAAATCTCATTTTTTACCCATATCTTCAGAAAAAAATCACTTCTACTGTCGTGGTAAACAACCTGCTTCCCTATTTATAATGGTCTGGCCCTCTAGCAACTTCAGCGCAAAATTATAGCTAATTATAGCTAATTTGCCTACAAACATCAGGTGGTCATAATAATCTGGCCACTCAGTGTAGCTGTATATGCGATAGTAACATGTTATATTCTAGTGTAACATTCATTAATACTGTTTGATATTGTTCTTACAGGTGGTTGAAATACATGAGGTCCCACTCTCGGTTATAAATGTGTGTTTTTAAACTTTTTCAGATGGGTATAAATATTTTGTGTACTTTGTGATTATTTTTTTACATTGTTTATGAGCAAATTCACTACCCTTCTGATATTGTTGTACCTAGTTTTGTTTTCCATAGTAACCAGATTCTAGCTTTTATTTTGCTATAATGAATTAGAATATAGGAGGAGGAATAGGGTCACTATGGGAAGTATAGGTACCCCCCCTTTCCTCAGGATTTCATACACAAGGTCTATATTTGTAGCATTGTGTCCTATATGTGTGTGTCGTATTGTCCCTCTTCATAGCACAAGACATTGAATTGCAGTCTTTTCTTTATTTTCTCTCTGCGGGATCTACATTTTGGCAGCTACAGCTGGCAGGAGGCTGCCTCCCCTGAAATTACCTCACTCCTCTTGGGCAGCTGCAGGCACAAGCAGGACCTCCGGGTCTTCCATATAGCATGCAGTATACAACAAGCAGCCTTGGACTATCTCTAGGGTTTATATACATTAATCTCCAGAACATGTCTCAGTCTACCCGTTTGTGATGTACTTAGCTAGCAGGGGCCTCCCCCACCACCACCCCCAGTTTCCTCAGTATTGGACTTGAAGAGCGCTTTTGTTTTCTCTAGGTTACTGTTAATGGTCTCCACTAAACCCTTCTCCAGCAGAAATCCTTCAGAATCAGTCTCGGCATCTTCAACACCAGTAATCTTTTCCATGGAAGTTTGGAGAAGACGCATGCTCACTAGAACCGAGCCCTGCAAAGAAAGGAAAATGACATGTTTGTTGAAATATAGGGAATAAAATAAGTAAATGGGAAATCAAGGTAAAGAGTCATCTCAATTGTGTTCCACATATACGGTATATTCCATCATACCATTACAGCTCAAGCACCCTGCATGTGCACATTTCAACATCCTTCTGCCTCTGGAACCATGTTAATGACTGTCTCTCATCTGACGGGTGAATATAACTAAGAAAAACAACTGCTGCACTTGCTTAGTCAACTCTCCTTCTCTAGCCTGTGATAGGACAATGAAGGAGAAGCAGTACACTGTTGAGGCTATTCTTGTACTCTCCTGTAAGCAGGTTCAGTGTTGGCCACACATATGGCAGTTTTCTGGCAATTTCAACCAATGTTTGATCACAAAAATATCCAAATAGATGGATGTAACCTCTACCACCAATATTTTGTCATCTTAAAATTATCTAAAGTTTTGGAGGTAGCTTGCCTTGATTTGCTTGGTTGTTTGTGTGAAACTGCCTAAAAATTGTCCCGTGTGTATGGGCCAGCATTAGGCTGACAAGCACTGTGGAAGAGAGCCCTTATTGGTTCCTATTGCTGCCTAAAGGGCCATTTCACACCAGCAGTCGCACTTCACCGCACAGCTGATGGCGTGTCTGTGCCTGGCAGAATACTAATGCACTTGATCGCTATGCGTCGTACTGTTTACTTTTTGCTAGAACTTTATTGAAATGTCACAAATTACATTTCATTAAGTTCTATAGGCACAGCACGGTGCAATGTGGTTGCATGCCATACATTTGTCAGCATATGCAACGCAACTAAGCCCATCCTTGCAGCTGCGCTGGACAAAATGTCCAACGCAACTCCAATGTATCGGGTGTGAATGGGGCCTTATTCTCTTTGTCTTAATCCTACTGTGCAAGGAATAGCAAAAAAAGGATATCAAGGGCTTATGGTTGTCTATATAAAAAAAAATGTAAAAGGCATAACTGAGATGAAAGCTTTTTAAAAGTTGCCTAAAGTTTTAACTGCAGCCCAGCTGCTTTTCCAAGAGACATGATGGGGGCCTGGGCTCACAGTACTTCCAGAAAGAGCGGCACTCAAACGTCTTTATGTCAGCACCACTCTGCCCAGGTGAAAGGACCGTGGCTGCCAGAGGAGAAGAAGAGGAAGGACCTGTGACACCACCAAACCTGCCAAAAAACTGCAGGAATTAAGGTATGTATACTGGGAATTTGTAAACATTCTTCTAGGAAGACAATAATGCTGGGAAAACATTTAGAAAATGCACCTTGCAAACAAAGATTAATAATACTTAACAGTCCAGCTGAAGAATCGTCATGTATCTGACATAATCCCAGGTACACCGTGGTTTTACATGTCAGCCACCACAATACTACTGCATTCTGCACCTGCAGTGATATAGCAGTCAGTGGGTGGAACCAAAGCACCCAGAAGTGTGTTGGATGCACAATATTCTTCATCTACTACAGCTCTGCAAAAAACTGAACAGTCTGCCAGAATAACAGCCTGTCAGACTAGTAAGTATTACTCATTTTGTTTTGTAGGCTGCATTTTTTCTGGTTACAGTCACTTTAATTCTAGGGTTTGGTTAAAGTGACTGTCACTTGAAAAAAAATGACAACAATATAAAGTGCCAACACTAGAGATTAGACATGTGCACCAGCAAAAAATTCATTTTGTTTTGATTCGGATTTTGCGTTATTTTGTTTTTCGTAATTCGGGTCCAAAAGTCAATTCGTTTCGGAATTCGGATTCGGACTAAATTCGTTAGCGGTAGTTTCTACGAAATCTAGTCCGAAGTTCAAACGAAACGAATCGCACATGTCTACTATAGATGCCTGCACACTCCTGCAAAATGTTTTATTGCCCCCTCTCTGCCCAAAGGCCAGGCTGTTCTGCAAAGTCAAAGTTCCAACACTTCCGAATAGGCTCTGTATCTACTGCAAAGTGCCAACGCTTTGAGGGTGTGAGGGTCATGTTAGTTATTACAGATACAATAGAAGTTGGAAAAAGTTTGAGGACACGGTTTCTTTTTAACTTGTTTTTAGTGCTGGAACCGCCATACTGAGAATGTACCTCTAAAATATAGATGTGTCACCAAACTCTTCCACTGTCTTACATCCTTACATCATTCACATGGATGGAAACAACAATGAATGTGGCTTAGACTTTGTTCACACAGGTTTGAAGAAGTGTGTGCAGCAGCTTTTGCAAAGCCTTTGTACAGCTTTGGTAAGCTTTGAGCACTTTTGTTAAAGCCTACCGTGTTTCCCCCGAAAGTAAGACCTACCCTGAAAATAAGACCTAGCACTATCTTCAGGGATTTCTGTAATATAAGACCTACCCCAAAAATAAGACCTAGTTCGGTGGTAGATCTCATATTACAGAAATCCCTGAAGGTATTAAAAAAAAAAAAAGGGAAGTATGGGAAGTAAAATACTGATCTTATCAGGTGTGCTACTGGTCACTTTAAATACACGTAATCAGGTTTTAACAAGTGTCAAGTAGTTTTGAAGCCTGACAGTTGTTTGTTTTAGCTGACAGCACTCCCATTAAAATCAATCCCATTAAAATTAATCATTAACTTCTCCATATGAGCTGAATTCTGCATTGAAGGCTTCAACAAACCATGCTGAAAGCTTTGTAAATGCTTATACAAGTTATGGCCTGAGCAACTAAGGCCCTAACCTCTTCTGGCCAGACCTAACTGACAACATAAGCCTGCAGATAAGTGCTAATACCTTAAGGCTGCATTGCCATCTATTTAACAGTGTAATTGTCTGATACAATGATATTATTAAAAATAATAATTCATTAAAATGTGATTTTTTTTCACATAAAAAAAGAGTTAAAGGGGTGTAAACCGAAATGTACAGACTCTGTTCTGTCCAAGGAATTAAAGTATTTATTCAACAACTTACTGCGTTTGACTGTTAATCGTGTAGCTTTGGTCCACCTTCTTATTTTCCTTATGTTAATAACACTATATTTCCATGTTTCGTATACATGGCACAGCTTTTGTAAAGGACTTGCATGTCAAAAATGTATATATTTTCTGTTGTTTTATAAAAACTCAAAAAGACTTGATTAAACATTTAAGAGTTAAAGAAAACATGTACTTAAAATGTATCTAAACTCAAAAACAAAAATGTAATTTATTGCAGCATACTAATTCTTAGATGTGGTGTTTGCATTACTTTCTATTTTGGGCTTTTATCCTTTATTTTCACCTGGTGATCCAGCCAGTAAGTCTGTTATTTTTTTACCAGACCAAGCTGTACAGAAAAAGTGTCAAATAGAGGGTTCAGACAAACCATTTAACACAACCAAAGAGATAAAGAAAACATTTGCTTGGCTATAATAATCAACCACCTATGTATGTAAAATGTTGCCTGCTGTGGCCATTATAACTTTCCCTGTTGGACTGTTCATTTATTTGACATTATTAAGAATGCAACCAGGGGGTTGAAACACCAAAACATCATAGGGGGATCGTACCACTGCAGTCCCCAAGAGATATAATAAGCCCAAAGTTAAGTTACTAACACTGTACTCATTACTGAAATTTCAAGTTTGAGTCGGCCACCCTTTAATTAATTATGTAAAATTAGCATATATATTTTTTTCACAACAATGCATTTTCATGATCTCCACAGCCCATTTATACTTAGGCTGGGGTGCAGTTTCCACCAAGTAAAAATAAGTAAAATGTGCTTTATTGTGTCTAATTATACAATTCACATTTATGCATTTTGGTACAAAGGTTTGTTTTTCTAATATTTCCCGTATGCTACAGTTTGGGCAAACTTTGCTTATAGTGCATATAAACATGCATTTGCAAGAAGTGCCCTTCCATTATCTTCTCTCCCTCTTAGGTGCATACACCAATACAAGCAAAAACAAAAACATATCCCTTCACTTATAAGGTACAATGCATAAGAAAATACACAGCACAAATTAGCTTTAGAATTAGGGCGTTAAGACTTTGCTGAGTTAATAGTGTAGATTACACGCTAGAACAGCAGGGTTAATGCTAGCAAATGCAAGCTTCTGAATGCTGATTGGTTGCCTATTTTAAAAAACATTTTTTTTAATTTAGTGCATTATCTTCCTAAAATGGATTGAATAGAAGAGCATATATTCATAAAAACAACTATGGAAAAATAGCTCCTTAAATTGTTTGCAGTGAACTGACTTGCAGTATTTGTATTACAAATGTGTCTAGGTTTAAATGGCTTACCTGACAACCTTACCACTGCAACATACTGATTACATGACCTTTTAGCTTTAAGAGGATTGATTTAAAAAGGCTCCAGTGGTATTTTATAATGCCAGTACTACATACTAACACATACTGACAGTTCTTTCTGTTCATTATATTTTAGATGTGCTTGTCATTCTTGTGTAGTGGATGGATATTTTTTATAAATTAGCTAATTCTTGTATGAATTACCTAGAAACTTGCCCCATTTCACAGCAATGATTACCTCCTTAATAGATAGACTGGCATCACTAGACAATTCAAATCAAGGAAGGTCAGGTGATAAGCAGTCACCCGAAAGATTCACAATAGAGCAGGTGGCCTGGATTCCTTCCTCACTGCCCCATGCAGAATTAATTATAGGCATATGATTCCCATGCCATTCAATGTTCTTCTACTGCTGGATAGGTTTATACCATTAAATCAGGGGTATCATGCCTGACATCTCAGCTTGAAATCACATTTTAAGTCACCCTGATTCTATTTGTTGCCTACCTGGATGTCTTATTAAACTGTGATGGTCTACAGGGCAAAGGCATTCCAGAAGAATTTTAGAATCTCGGCTTCCTACCAATATTCTGTTGTTTTATACCCATCACTGGTGAGCTGATCAAACAGGCAAACCAGTGTTTATATCCAATGCAATAGTTAATACGTGCTAACAAAGCACAAGATGTTGGATTACAAGTCTGGATTTCTTGATGGTAATACTCAAAACTTAGTAA